CCTCCTCCCCCCCAACCCCTTTTTCTTCCTCTAATAAACTCTTTGCAGTCCAAGAAGGAAGAACTGGAGAAAGCGTGCAATTCAGATGATGTCTCAGGCACTTGTAGGCAGGAAGGAGTTTCTTGGAGGATCCTAGCATAAGGAATTTCAAGTGGTAGGTAGAGGAAGAGGAAGGATCACTGGGGCTGCTGAGTAGGGATCCACCAAGAGAAAGGAAACAGAGGCAGTGATGGAGGTGGGAGCCAGGGGCAGAAGGTCTTGATGAGGACCAAACAATAACTTGGGAACAGGAGGGATGGTGTAGGAGAGATGGGTGAGGGCTATCAGGCTACACAGTAGTAAAGGCTGAAGTTATACTGCCATTGAAAGACATCAGTTGAGGCTTAATTTACAAGTATAAAATGCGGCAGTTTTAGGCATGTACTTCAGTGTGTTTTCATAAATGGCCACACACCCCCATAACTACCACCTCAGTCACTCCAGAAACTTCCTCTCCTCCGTGCTCTTTTGCAGTCAGTCCCTGGGCAGGCACCATACATTGGTTTTGCCTGTTACAGGATTTCATGTAATGGAATTTTATGTTGAGTGTGAATCTGTTTGCCTGTAGATGGCCTTGTGGGTCATTGAATTATTCAGTTTCTTATTACAAAATACCTGAAACGGTTTCTTATAATACAAAGTAGTTTATTATGTCATGGTTTTGGAGGGTGCAAGATCAGGCAGCCACATCTGTTTAGCTTTTTTTTTTTTTTTTTTTTTGGTTTTTTTGAGACAGGGTCTCCCTGTAGTCCCAGCTGTCCTGGAACTCAATAGGACAGGCTGGCCTTGAACTCACAGAGATCCGCCTGCCTCTGCCTCCCGAGTGCTGGGATTAAAGGCATGCACCACCACTCCTGGCTCTGTTTAGCTTTTGATGAAGGCTACATGAAAACATGGAGGATGACATCACAAGAGCAGTGTGCGAGAGAAATCGCATAGAAAGACGGAGACTAGAGAGGGGCCGCCATTGCTCTTTGTTTAGTGACTCATGAGACTTAACTGGAGTTAAGTTCTCATGAGAACTACATTAATCCCTTCGGAGGGCGGTGTAGCCAGTGCCCATCACTAAAGCATTGAACACCTTCAGCCACGCCACATTGGAACTGTACTTCCGACACATGAACCTTTGGGGGACCTTCAAACCAAGTCACTAACAATTTTGGTGGCTCATGTGTAAGTCTTTGTGTGGGCAGAAGCTCCCTCTTAACTGCTGTTTTGATTTTGACTGCCTCTTCCTGACTCTTGACTCTTGGGAAAGTTTCTCCCTGTGCCTCTGTATAAAATCTGTTGATGATGAATCTGTGTTCCTAAGGTCTTGGTAAAGATCAAATGAGAGTCTTTGTCAAGCTCTTAAATGATGCCTACACAGTCCATGAGCAGTAGGTAGTTGCTATTGGTCCTTTTCCCTGGGACTGCAGAGGACATGCACCCGCGTGGTTTGTTTCACAGGTCAACTAGGAATGCCTTAGGACACAGCAGCGAGGAGCCACTGGACTTGGAACAAGTTTGTAGTAAGTCCTTGCTTCAGTGTGGCCTTTGCATGTAATGGATCCCTCATGGGTTCTTTAACATCTTCAGAGAACCATTGTAAAAGTCTGTCTTCATGCTTTGTAAACGCTTGAGGAAGCTAGAAGATGGGAAGTATATTGTAGTCTTGGCCCTGCTGATTGTTAAATAATGCTGCTATTGTCTTCAAAAACCATTACAGTCTATGTGAAGGGATTTATCCAAAAGTTGGAAACAAACCATCCCAAAGCCTGCTTGCACTAAGAGCTTTGGAAAGGCTTTGCTGAGAGCAGGAGGTGGGGTGGCAGCCCCTCCCCCCTACTGAGTGCAATCCCAGCAGTCTCTGTAAACGCCCCTGAGGGACCTAGGAGGCCTGCAGTTTCTGGCTGTCCTTGCAAAGTTGATTTAATAAGGGTTCCAGGAAAACCAGTCTCCCCTCCCTTTTCCAGTTTGCCATATTACTGAGTCTAAGCTTGTTTCAGACACAGGTCCAGAGGAATACCCCTTTCAAAAGACAAGAGCCAGCTTACACAATTTTGAGCTTGAGGAGGGCTATGTCCATGTACTTTTCTCTGAGAATAGTACTTGAGGTGGGAAATGAGTGCGTGCATCCAAAACTGTTTGCAAGGCCACTTGTGGCAGCTGGGAATGGTGGCCCTTCCCTTTTCTCTAATCAGCACAGATCCCATGGCACAGGGCAGTGTGAAACTTCCAGTCTTGAAATACTTTCCTCCGTCCACAGAAACCTGCAACTCATAAGCGACTTAATGGGCTGAGGTTTTACAACTCCTCCTCCCCACCCAGATTTGAAGCAGTCTGGTGGCTGGTTGAAGAGAAAGAACAGAGGTTACATTTAATGGAAAAGCTACACATTTCTGTTGCTGGCTACAGGCCCCCTGTATGCCATGTGTACCACAAAGCAGGGCTTTGTCCTGTTCTGCAGAAACATGTACCTATGGGAGAGGCCGAGGGTGCTGCCAGAACAGGCCCTGGCCTGAAGTTATAGGGCTGTGGTGGCCCTCCTCCCTGCTGGGGGTCTCGAAGCAGCCTTTGGTCCAAGAAGGTATACATTTCAGCTTAGCTGCCTGGGAATTTAGCTAGGTATCAGAGAGTGACCCTCTAGCAGACATGCTTACGGTTGGCCCTGCTGCTTGCAGCCTATTGGTGT